AAAAAAGAGGATCAAAGAATTATACATTAAAACAGATCTACAGATAATTTTTTTTCAAACATAACATTTGAGATAATTCAAAAACACTCTTTATTCTGCATTTTTATAGAATCCTAGAGTTGGAAGAGACCACATGGGCCATCCAGTCGTACCCCCTGCCCAGAAAACACTGTATTCAAAAGCACTCCCAACAGATGGCCATCCAAGCTCTGCGCAAAAACCTCCAAAGAAGGAGCTTCTGGGGCAGAGAGCCTCACTGTCGAACAGCAATCACAATCAGGAAATTTCTTCTAATGTTCAGACCTCCTTTCTTGTAGTTTGAAACCATTGCTCTTCATCCTAGTTTCCAGGGCAGCAGAAAACAAACTTGTTCCCTGCCCCTTTATAACCTTCTCATATTTATACATGACTATCATGTATCCTCTCAGCTTTTTTTCTTCCAGGCTAAACATGCTCAACTCTTTAAGCCGCTCCTCATAGGGCATGTTCTCCAAACACTTTATCATTTTGGTCACCTTCCTCTTGACACATTCTTGCTTGTCAATATCATTTTTCAGTTTGAGATTCATGGAAGCATTCTATAGAGCAGGTAATTTAACATTTTTGAAGATACAATTTTCATCCCACAATTTCAATTACCTTATAATTTTTGTCACTTGCGTCCAGAAAGCATCCAAGTGGCCAGCTTTTGATGCTTTCCCGACATTTTAATTAGTTTTCTTTCAGCCAAATTGATTCATTTTCCATTTTGATTTAACAAGCAATCACAGAAAAGCCAAATGAGTGAGTTTATCAATGTTTTAAACATATACACATCTGTATAAATAAAAATGTAATGTTCGCCTGTGGCACCAACACTACTCAAAAACCTCTGGACAAAACTGATACCAAATTTGGATGGAATATGTCTATGAACCCAATGAGTGACCATCACTCTAAAAAAAATGTAGATGGACATTTGGGAGTTGTAGTTTCTGGGATCCATAGCTCATCCACAATCAAAGGGCACTCCGAACCCCACCAACGATAGACCTGAACCAAACTGAAAAGAAGCACCATTAAAGCCTTGGCAGACCGTGCAAAAAGAATTTGCGAAGCCCACCTCCTCCAAGATGAACTGAACCACCTCAACTGGGCTCTCCAGGCCAATGGATACCTCAGACATCAGAAAAGCTGCAAGACCAAGAACAAGCCATGGGAGTAAATATGAAGATCCACCCAGAGGAAAAAGTATTCCTGTCATATATCAAGGGAACCACTGACCGCATAGGGAAGCTGATGAGGAAACACAACATACAAACTATCTGCAGACCCACCAAGAAAATTCAACACTTGCTTCATTCAGCAAAGGACAAGAGGGATCCTCTCGCTTCTGCAGGGGTCTACTGTGTACCATGCAGCTGTGGACAAGTCTACATAGGGACCACCAAACACAGTGTTGCCCAAACACGAATCAAGGAACATGAAAGGCACTGCAGACTACTTCAACTAGAGAATTCAGCCATAGCAGAGAACCTGATGAATCAACCTGACACAGCATTTTATTCGAGAACACAGAAATGCTGGACCACTCTCACAACCACCATGTCAGGCTACACAGAGAAGCCATTGAAATCCACAAGCATGTGGACAATTTCAACAGAAAGGAAGAAACCATGAAAATGAACAAAATCTGGCTACCAGTATGAAAGAAAACTCTAAAATTACAACAGAGAGGAAACAAACAAGGACATCTAATCACATCTCAGCAAAAATTTGCCGCAGGCTCAGTCAGACCATTATATGCTAATCAAGGTGGTCAGTTGAAACATTCACACCTAGCTCCAGCAGACAAGAGTCCTTTGTCTCACCCTGATCATTCCACAGATATATAAACCCATTTTGCCAGTTTCAACAACCTCACTACCTCTGAGGATGCTTGCCAAAGATGCAGGTGAAACGTCAGGAGAGAATGCCTCTAGACCATGGCCATATAGCCCGGAAAAAAACTACAACAACTTTATTCACAGTACCCTCATGACCTTCGCAAGGGTCCCAGCCCCCACGTTGAGAAATGCTATCTATGGTCCATCCAGTCCAACTACCTTCACCAGGGCAAGGAAATATAATCAAAACCCTCCTGACAAACAGCTATCTAGCATAGATATAGATAGATATGATTTACAACATATTTATGTGACATATAGTATCATAGATTTCAAGAGGGAACCCTAAAGAAGGAAAATGATATGTTGCACGTTTCAGAGTAGGCAAACCAGACAATCTCCACACCAGTACTAACAAAGAAAACAAGGAGAAATACTGTTTGCCCACAAGCATAAAGAAATTACATACAGTAGAAACCCACACTTTCTCATTACTCTTCCAGATCACCAGACTGGGCCACAGCAACGCGTGGCAGGAAGCGGCTGGTAATTCATATATTTACACATTCCATTCACTGGACCATCTAACTTCAAACTGTTTGGGTATCAGCCAGCATGCCAACGACTTAAATCTAGAAATAGTTTTCTAAGATGTACAGAGACACTCGCTGGAACACCTCAGCAAGCGAGAGTCCAAAACTGGCAGGCTCAATCCCAGAACCTCAATCAAAGGCTGATACCAAATGAAAACTCCCCCCTGGGCGCACAGAGGACTGGGCGACTTGGAAGGCACTGAACAGACTGCGCTCAGGCACCACAAGATGCAGAGCCAACCTCAAGAAATGGGGCTACAAAGTGAAATCTATGACATGCGAGCGTGGAGAGGAGCAAACCACAGACCATCTGTTGCAATTCAGCCTGAGCCCTGCCACATGCACAATGGAGGACCCTCTTGCAGCAGCACCAGAAGCACTTCAGGTGGCCAGCTACTGGTCAAAGGACATTTTAATCAACTATCAAACTCACAAATTTTGTATTTTGTCTGTTTGTTTGTTTGTTTGCTTTGTTCTGTTAGAAATGTAATATAACTGGCCGAAAATATTCATTTAGACATGCAGAGAATCCATTCATTCACATGCCACATATGTCAGCATATCCAATCCACTTTTAGTCACTTTTAACCTTACTGGAATTATTTTGCCATTAGATATCTATCAAGGTGATCAATCAAGACATTCACATGTTCTTCAAGCAGGCAAAACCTCTCTCCTATCCTGGGCATTTTACAGACATGTAAACCTCACTTGTTTATTTTTTCAAGAGGCTTCACAACCTCCGAGAATGCCCACCAGGAAAATACCACACAACTACCTAGCAATTCCGGTCATGAAAGCCCTCAACAGCACACTCAAACATTTTCTTTATCACGTTTCTCTTGACTTATTTGTCTTTTAAGTGGTTTTTGTTCTCTCTTGTATGCGGACACAAATGCAGACATAATCATTATTTATCTTTATTGCTCCTGAAAAAAAACCACAAATTTATCCTTTCCTTTTGGATGAATTGTATCAATACTAGTTTACTATCTTAAGTATGTATAAAGTTTTTGGCTTGCCAAACAAAAGACAAACAACAAGAAACAAAAGACAGACAGTTGACACTTTCTTCAACCAAATCTTTAACACACCTTTCAAAGACAAATCATTCTCGCACACAATTTTCATACGATCTTTGTTACCACTATACCTCCTGAGGAATCCACTGTCCCCTGATTTTACTATTACTCTTTTCCTATAATACTCTCCCTATCATTGAATTCCCTTTTATTTGTCAACTATTTCTTATCCTATCTTTCCCCTTGGTCCAAATGACCATCCTTGACACCTTAGTTTCTCTTTTGGCTTCTATCTGCGGTCCCCTTTTGGACCACTTCAGTCTCTTTACTACTGAGGAAAGGTTCCATCCTGGATCCTAACCTCAGGATCCCATTTACCGTTGCAACTTCTAAGTTACCCTCCTGTGGCGGTGTCTATCTATCTGTTACAAACTTCAAGACTAGACTAGTGGTCCCCTTGACCTCCGCCCCTCTTACAGGTAACTTCTATTAGTCTGAGGCAGAGTCTACCATTCCGTATCTCACTTCAAAGGCTAGACTACCAGAAACTGGTGGCCACTCTTCGGCCCTGGCCTCCCTAGCGCGCTTCTCTTTCTCCATAAATCTGAAAACAATACTTGCCTGTCCTGGATTCCTCCTCTTTCTTTTCCGATCCAGGCGAACCTCTGACGTTGTTTTTTTGTCTCTCCTATTTGGGCGTTCCCTCGGACAGACGGTTCCTGATCAGGACAACCAAGGAAGTCGGTCTATTTGCTTTTTGGGTACCCTTCTCGACTCTCCGTGGTATGCCCCGACCCAGCGCCAACTGTCAGATCGGAAAGGACTGGCAACAGTCCCTGGCTCACTCCTTCCATGCAGTCACTGCGACTGTTTTAACATCCCGGCCACGAGCCCCCAAATTATGTTAGAGACCCTTGATTGGGTCTTTCCAGGTCCCAGTCGCAGGAGCACGGAAGGAAAGAGACAGTCCCATTTAAAGATAAAAAAAACAAGGTTTTTATTTTAGTCTCTTCATGAAGAGAGACGAACAGCATGATAGCATTACGCAGATGCTATCCTACAAGTTGCTGCCGTGCCGTCCCTTAAAATCTGCAACTTTATATAGCATTTGTACAAACAGAAGACATCGGGAAAACACTTTTTATGAATAATAATTCTGACGTTTTTGATGGAAAAGTACCTTCTGTACCTCTGTACCTCTGCTCTTCGAAAACAACAATTTTAACCTTTTAACAAAGGGAAATACAGGAAACCGCAACTACTTCCTGTCTGCGCTCTGTTCCATTTATGAAGAGCTTATTGCTAAAATTGCTGGTTTTGTTTGCTTTTTCCCAAAAGCCCCTTATTCAGAGACCCTTGAGGCTTTTGTTTGCTTTTACCCAAAAGCCCCTTACTCAGAGACCCTTGAGGCCTACTTCATCACTGGTTCTCATCCCTTGAGCCTCTTAAGTGTTTGGGACTTCATCTCTCAGAAGCCCCAGCAAGCTTGGCCACCTGCAGGGACTTTTAGGAGCTGAAGTCCAAAACACCTGCAGTTCTCAGGCTCTGAAGAAAAGAAAGTTATGCTTGGTCTTCGCTCCTCTTTCCCATTGGGCGAGAACAGACCTAGGAGGGCGGGGCTACACTCAACCAGCCAATCACAAAAGGGGACGCTTTGGAATTTTTTTGGAACTCTCTTCTAGGGCTTATTCCAGTGTCCTCCTGATCAGAAGTGGGTGAAGTCTGGCCTGGGCATCTAAAGCAGGTAATATTTCATCTTCTGTCTATCAGTGCATTTGCACTGCAGAATTAATGCAGTTTAACACCACTTTGATTGCCATGGTTTAATGTTTTGGCATTCTGGGAGTTGTAGTTTGGGGAGGCAGCAGCCCTTTTGTGGCAGAGTAGGCTGAAGACCTTGTAAAAGTGCAACTACTATGATTCCATAATATGGAGCCATGGAAATAAAAGAGTGCATATACACTGCAGAATTGATGCAGTTTAACACCACTTTAATTGCCATGGTTCAATACTTTGGAATCCTGGGAATTGTAGTTTGGGGAGGCACCAGCCCTTTTGTGGCAGAGAAAACTGAAGAAGACCTTGTAAAAGTGCAACTACTATGATTCCATAATATGGAGCCATGAAAATTAAAGAGTGCCTCTACACTGCAGAATTAATGCAGTTTAACACCACTTTAATTGCCAAGGTTGAATGTTTTGGCATCCTGGGAGTTGTAGTTTGGGGAGGCACCAGCCATTTTGTGGCAGAGAAGGCTGAAGAAGACCTTGTAAAATTGCAACTACTGTGATTCCGTAATATTGAGCCATGGAAGTTAAAGAGGTATCAACCAGCATTAACTGTTTAATGCAGCGACATCCTATGTCTTTAAATATATGTGTTTTCTCTATATGTGGTTTAACTGTGGCCTTATCTGCACTGTAGAATTAATTCAGTTTGATAGAACAATCACTGCCAGGGCTTGATGGTATGTATACACTCCTGGGAGTTATAAGCATATGGGGCAGAATTATTATTCATCAGAGAAGGCCAAAGATCTTGTGAAACTGCAACTCCCAGGATTCTGTTGCATGGAGGTTGACCCTAGATTTGTACTAAAAGATCTAGATATTAGTCGAGAAAACATTAAATCCCTAAATAATCAAATGCACAAAAATTAAATCTCAAAATGTGCAGTGACTCTACAGTACATTCTTCCCTAATTCCTCACACTTCTCTATAAATAATCATAATTGTGAATACCCCCACTTTAAAATCAGCACCTAACGGGTTGGTTATTTGCTATTGAATGATGACTTACTTATATTCTGAATTCTTCAAAGCCCTTTGCAAACATTTCATGTTGGTACTTACTTAGGCAATCCCTTGTCGTCCGAGTAGGATAGTCTTCCAAGATCAGTGTCCTGGCAGTGGGTCCGTAGGTGACTGTGGAGCCCTATTCTTGACCTGCATGTTATCCTGCAGTGAGGGCATTGGTTTCCAGGGGGAAGGCGGTCTCAATCGGGGTTGGCTTGATGCGCCTTCCTCTTGGAACATTTCTCTCTTTRGTCCTCCATTCATGCCTCTTCAAATTCTACAGCACTGCTCTTCACAGCTGACCTCCAGCTGGAGCACTCAAAAGCCAGGGCTTCTCAGTTCTCGGTGTCTATGCTACAGTTTCTAAGGTTGGCTTTGAACCCATCTTTAAATCTCTTTTCCTGCCCACCAACATTTTGTTTTCCATTCTTGAGTTCGGAGTAGAGCAACTGCTTTGGGAGACGGTGGTCGGGCATCCAGACAACGTGGCCGGTCCAGCGGAGTTTATGGCAGAGGACCATTGCATATATATATATCTAACTATATAAACCCCACTTGCCTCATTTCCAGCAGACCTCACAACCTCTGATGATGCCTACCATAGATGTGGGCAAAACGTCAGGAGAGAATGGTTCTGGAACATGGCCATACAGCCCGGAAAACTCACAGCAACCTATATTTCTTTAAATACTATATGATTTATTGCTTATTTTGGACTCAGAGGTTTCTTTTTTAGTTTGTGTGACTTTTAAAATGTGCCTCTTCTTCACTGCCCTATAATCCAGGTTATCAAATCGGATAATCCACAGTATCTGCTTTGAACTGGATTATATGAATCTACACTGCCATATAATCCAGTTCAAAACAGATAATCTGGATTTTGTATGGCAGTGTAGAAGGGGCCATACATGCATACTGCAGCCAACACACACAGTTTGAAAGCTCTGACCCAAAAAGCAAGAACTTAATTATAAAAAAGTAAAAAAAAAATTATAGGCCTTTCAATTTGTTGCTTGTTTTTGAGCACATGGTCTTTGCTCAAGGAAATAGATGTCTCTTGTACCTGAGTATCCAATCCTTTCACCACTAGATAACAGACCTGAGAGATTTCTCCCATAACATTGGAACGGATCTGGAAACTGTTGTTTACCCTTTGGAGTTGATTGTGGGCACCATGGCACCTGGGCAGATTGTAGAGTCGCTTTATCAAGAAATGACATGTCCCATCTGCCAAAGCTACTTCAAGGACCCGGTGATTCTAGACTGCGGGCACAACGTCTGCCAGGGCTGCCTCAACCCCCACCAGAGAGGGTTTGGCATGACTGCCTGCTGCCCACAGTGCCCAGAAAGTGATCAGCGGAAGAGCTTCAGGACCAACTGGCAGCTGGCTAAAGTGGTGGAGCTGGTCAAGAAACTCCATGGAGAGAAGGAAGCTGAGCAGCAAGTGTGTGCCAAGCATGAGGAGCCCCTGGATCTCTTCTGCAAGGAGGATCAGGTCCCCATCTGCGTGATGTGCAGGAGGTCCAAAGAGCACCGAGAGCATGACATTTGTTCCAGGGAGAAGGAGGAGGAGGAGGGGGAGGAATCGGCGACCAAGGCATATAAGGTAGGGATACATTGTGACCTGGGGTGTTGTCATTGTTACTGTTCTTATTGACCTGCCGTCAAGTCATTTCAAACCCTCAGGTTTTCTTGGCGAGACTTGTTCATCAAATGAAGTTTGCTTTGGCCTCTCACTTAGGTGGTAATGGTGTGACTTGCCCAAGGGTTTCCAGTCCAACCCCATTCTGCCAGGCAGGAACACAGAATCAAAGCACCCCTGACAGATTGCCATCCAACTTCATCATGAAACCTCCAGAGAAGGAGACTCCATCATGCTCCGAGGCCTCATATTTCATTGTTGAACAGTGAAATATGCAGTGAAATGTTAGGCAGAATTTCTTTTCCTGCAATTTTAATCCATTGCTCTCTTTCCTAGTCTCTGGAGCAGAAGAAAAGCTTGCCCCCTCCTCAATGTGACATCCTTTGAAATCTTTAAACATGACTATCATGTCCCCTCTCAGCCTACTTTTATCCAAGCTAAACATACCCAGTTCCCCCATCCACTCCTCATAGGGCAGTGTTTCTCAATCTTCCTAATGCCATGACCGATTAATACAGTTCCTCATGTTGTGGTCACGCCCAACCATAAAATTATTTTCGTTGCTACTTCATAACTATGATTTTGCTACTGCTGTGAATTGTAATGTAAATATCTGATATGCAGGGTGTATTTTCATTCACTGGACCAAATTTGGCAGAAATACCCGATATGCCCAAATGTAATACTGGTGTGGTTGTGGGGATGGGGATTGATTTTGTCATTTGGGAGTTGTAGTTGCTAGGATTTATAGTTAACCTACAATCAAAGGGCATTCTGAACTCCACCAAGGATGGAATTGACCCAAACTTGGCACACAGAACTCCCATGACCAACCGAAAACACTGAAAGTATTTGGTAGGCATTGAACTTGAGTTTTGGAGTTGTAGTTCACCTATATCCCAGAGAGCACTGTGGACTCAAACAATGATGGATCCAGATCAAACTTGGCATGGATACTCAATATGCCTAAATGTGAACACTCGTGAAGTTTGGGGGGAAATAGACCTTGACATTTGTGAGTGGTGGTTGCTGGGATTTATAGTTCACCTACAATCAAAGAGAATTCTGAACCCCACCAATGATAGAATTAGGCCAAACTTCCCAAACTTTCCTCATGACTTACAGAAAATACTGTGTTTTTGATGGTCTTTGATGATCCCTCTGACACCCCCTCATGACCCCCCCCCCCCGGTCCCAACCCCTAGGTTGAGAAACATCATAGGGTGTGTTTTCCAAACCTTTGATCATTTTGGTCACCCTTTTCTGGGAATCATCCRGCTTGTCTATATCCTTCCTTAATGGTCATGCCCAGAACTAGGCACAYTGTTATTCCAAGTGAGGTCTAGCCAAAACAGAATAGAGTGAACTATGACTTCCCTCAGTTTTGACCCTATACTCCTATTGATGCATCCCAGAATCACATTGGCCTTCTTTAGCTGCTGCATTGAGATGTTTTTTTTTCCAGTTTTTGAAAATAATAGTGCTCTTTTGTTCACAGATCTAACTGCAGCAAATGTAAGGGCTGACTGCATATCCCCAAATATTTAAAATGGGGGAGAGAAAGAAGAGGTTCATTATGTGTCCATAGACAGTTTCTGGGCATTCATCCATTCATACATGCAAAATTCCACTGAGCAAGCAGTGGTTTCATTTTGACTTGTTTTCCCTCCCAGGTTAATTTCAATCAGGCAATCCGGTACTTAAAGATGGGAGAGGAGGAACTGATGGAGCTTTGTCTGGAAAAGGGGCTTGACAGGGAAGGCCTCAGCATTGATGAATTGAGGGTCATCCTCATCCAGCAAGCCAGCCAGCTGGAACCAGCCACAGTGAAGTCCAATGCCAAGAGGACACAAGCCTGTGGGCCAGAACTCCAGATGCAGAAAAACAGTGAACCAAAAGAGAAAACACAATTCATAAAGCTAAGGGTGAAGCAAAAGGAGCAGCTCACAGCTCAAGCAAATGAGAGGAAGGGTGAACTCGAACGTGTGTACCTGAAGGAGAGGCAAGCCAACGAACCTATCCCTTGGGTCTTCCCATGTTTTTCCCCAGGGGAAAACCCGGCATGCTTCCTTGCCGCCTTTGAGAGGACCTGCAAGCAGTGGAACAAGTCTAGAGAGGACGCTATGGAATATCTTCCTGGCTTGCTCAGAGGACGGTTGGCAGAGGTGTACCATGAGATGTCCAGCCAGAACCCTGTTACTCTTCAAGCCTTCAGAGAGGCCGTCTTCAAGCAGTTTAGCTTCGATCCTGATCACTTCTGTAAGGAATTCTGGGCCTTGAAACCCCAGCATGGAGTCTCCTTACTTGAATTTGGGGCAAAACTAGAGGAAACATTGTGCTGGTGGCTGGATAATGCCAAGGCTGATGATCGGGAGAAAGTGATCCGCTTGATGGCACTGAACCAGTTCTGTTCCCATCTCCCTGATCATATAAAGCATTCTGTCAAGGCAAAAGCCCCAAAGACCATCTCCCAGGCAGCTCAAATTGCAAACCAACTGATGCTCGGTCGAGAAGAACAGCACCAGGTGAGCCAAAATGTGGCCAATTCGCAGGAGTTTAAAAAGAGAGCCTGCCTCAATTGTGGGGAAAGGGGACACTTGAGGACTAGTTGCCCTTCCTCTTCCAAGAGGGTATACAGAGTGACTGCATTTTCCATCTGTGGAGAGGAGAGGAGCCCCACTGATTCTGCGATGCAACCAGTGTTACTTGGGAACCAGCTAGTGATAGCACTGTTGAGCACTGGATCAGAATTCTCACTGGTCAGCTCAGATTTAGTGTCCCCATCTGATATTATCCCTGGGGAGTCTGTTGATGTCCAGCCAGTAAATGGCAGCCCTTTCTCCCTTCCAGTAGCATGTTTGCAGATGAACTGGAGGGACACAAATGGCCTTGTGGCTTTCGGAGTGACTGAGAATCTGTTTGTGCCTCTCATTTTGGGGCTAGATATGATACTCAAGAGCTGTGGCCCTTTCTCCTGGGGTCCTGAAGGTTTCATATTCTCCAAGAAACCTAAAGCCACCGATTCACAGAAGCCTACCTCGTAGAAGCCTCAGGTGGGAAAAATCTGGCTCCCAAAGAGAATGTGGTTCAAGATATGGATGGCTTCTTCTGTGAGGTAGTTAACTTTTTACTTTATTTTTATAGTTATCTGAAGTATGTGCCTTCATTACTTCACACTTACTAATGTCTGTTGTTACTTATTTAGTTACATTTTAATTATGAGCTTTTGCATACTTTTTATTTGTTTGTAAAGTTGTAAACCAACCTGCCTGCAAAACAACTGCTACTAATATCAATAAATGCAATAAATAAAAGCAACAATGATAATGATTTTTTCTCTAAAAGTTGCCACAAGAGTCTTCATTGTTTTTGCAGCAACATGGCTACATACCAGTCATGTGCATTTGGGGTAAACTTTGATCTTTTTTGTGTCCCGGCTTTCGATGGGCCCCCCGATCCATTTCGACTGAGCCTCCCGAAATCGGGAGGGCAGATATTTGTTTTCTGTTTTTGGTACTGAAAGATCCGTTTTCTTTCGGCTCCTTTATTGGGGAGGGGAGGGTTCACCCGTAGGCCCAAAGCATCAGGGTGTCTGCAGCCAAGCACCAAGTACGGAGCGCTCCTTACTCGGCGCTCAGCTGCCAGGTCCCTGCACTTTGGGCCTATGCGCACGGCAATCTATCTGAAAAGCAGGCTTGGAACCAGTACCCACTCATGCCTGCCTTTCATATTGAGTTTATTTTTGTTCCAGGAGTAGCCTTCCTGTTCCGCGCCATCCAAATGGACGGAACGAAATGGAAACACAAATCAAACAAATAAGACAAATTTTGGGCCCATCACCACTACATGCACACAGCCCTGAAAGTTTAATAACATGACATTGATAGAGGTCTGGTACCATGTTTGCATTTATTTGCAGTTTTTCCAGCCAGAAACTGATATTCCCAAAAGGGTGCAAATACAATTCAATCGAACTTGACAGATCTGACACTGATGTCTCCCTCCACTGCAAAGTATTCTGCCGTTTCCAGCCCCAGTCGATTGGGGAACTTGATTTCATGGCCTTCATCGATCTTTACTGTCACCTCCTCAGCATTAAAGTGGACACAAAGCTGATATAAAGAAAGGCAGGATAGTTATGTGTTGCCCACCACCCAGATGTCCTATTTATGTGTTTCCTCCATCAGGATCCCAGTGTTTCTTACTCTCTCCATTGGTGTGAAATTTGCATGATCCCACCCACTGTCTCTTCCTTAACCCTTTCCTACTCTTTTCAGCTCTGCACAACAAACAGAGCAGAACTAATCGGCAACTAAACATACTAGAGGAGTTTGTGGGATTGACTCCACATGATGGAAGTTGTAGTTCACCCTGCATCAAGTCAGAGCACTGTGACCCCCATTGACAATGGACCTGAGCCACATTTGGCACACAGAACTCCCATGACCAAAGAAAAATACTGGAGAGGTTGGGGGGGGGGGGATTCACCTTGATTTGTAGCCACTGGGATTTATAGTTCACCTGCAGTCAAAAAGCACTCTGCACCCCACCGATGATGAACCTGGATTTAACTTGGCACACAGAACCACCATGACAAAATTAATGTACAAGAGGGGTTTGATGGGACTGACTCACCATGGTGAGAGTTGTAATTCATCCTGCAGTCAGAGAGCACACTGAACCCCAACGATGATGAGCAACTTGCCCAATGAGACAAACTTTTAAGTATTGATGGGAGTGTCAGGGGGTTAACCTGGTATGATGTGAGCATACTCACAACCTTATGCATTTTGTAAAATTTTAAAAAATGACTTCTAGTTACCCGGGCAATGCCTGGTACCAAAGCTAGTAAATAAATTAAATCAAAAAATTAAGCCCAAGAGATAGATCAAGCACTGGCTTCCATGCCAGTGGGACAGTTATTCTACTGTGGGATTTTAATCTATATATTCCAAGCTTCCTTGGAATATTTTCTGCCCCTATAGTTAGTTATAAAGTGAGGAGAAATAAGGATGCCTTACCAAAAAGTGCTGAAAACCTAGAAAATGTCCCTAACCCTTTTTAAAGGTTACTTCTGTGCTTACGACTTACCTTGGTCTGTTCTCCCTGTTCAAAGGGGAAGATGGACTCTCGCACCTCCAAACCCCATTCTCTTTTCATCTTGGAGTTACACACAATGGTCCTGACATCTCCATGACTTTCAAAGCGAGCGTTGAAGTGAAGGATCAGATCCGAACCATCCCGGCCCAAGTTGAGGGCAAAACTAGTGAAAGGAAGGACACAACCAACATAAACACTCTTTTTGAACTCCAGCACAATAAACTGAGTCAAAACCATACTTCTTCATGACAGGCCACCCCTAATTTTAGATACACACAAAAATTTGGATGAGTTTATTTGGAGATGAGGAAAATTACTTTAGATTTAGCACAACCATACTTACTGGAGATTCTGGGAGTTGTAGGTTTTTTTAAAGCAACATTTTCAAGTCCTTATGCTAAATACCCACTAACCACAATTAAGCCATGGCTTGCTGTTGGCCTAACAACTTTGCTTTGTTTAAACTATACATTGTTTGTTCAGTGGCTTTACCTTTTTCCTCAATAACCTCTTTTCCTGAAGAAAAGAGAAGGAAAAAAAAAACAAACCACAGCTGGAGGAAATATAAACCGCTCCGAGTCCCCCTTGTGGGGAGAAGGGCAGGATAGAAATGTACGAAATAAATAAGAAACAAATTCTTATAGTCCTCTGTGACCAGTTTATGACTACCAGCTGATTCCTAATCCATCTAAAATGCAGGTGTGTGCTTTACATCTTAAGAACAAATAAGCATCTCGAGCTCTGAAGATTACCTGGGAAGAAATCCCACTGGAGCATTGAGCACAGCCAAATAACTGGGAGTTGAATATCAAGCAAAAAGTGGGTCCTAGAAACAATATACAAAAGCTGACTGGCAACCTGGGGATCACAACCAGACACAGTGAAGACATCTGCCCTTGTGCTTTTCTATCCTGCTGTTGATTACGTATGCTCAGTGTGGAACACATTGCACCACATTAAAACAGTGGATGTGGCTCTTAATGAGACATCCCCCATTATTACAGGTTATCTATGCGTCCAACACCACTGAAGAAATTATACTGTATAGCCAGTATTGCACCACCTGACATCCGTCAAGAAGTAGCAGCCAACTATGAAAGGACCAAGGCAGTGATATTTCTTCAGCATGGTCACTGAAATCCACATCTGTGGTACTTCCCTGCGTCCACACAGCTGATTTCGATCTTTCTTGAAAGCTTTTACCTAATTAGGGACTCCACCCTGGCCCATCTACTCCTAATAAAGCCAGGCAGTGGGGCATGAGGCCTTCGTTCCTTTCGTCCGGGGGTGGTACTTTTTGCCCCATCCCCCAATCCCTCATAATGTCATGATATCAGCCAGCATCCCAACATCTTAAATCAAGAAACAACTTTCTAAGATCTACAGAGATACTTGCAGGAACACCTCAGCAAGCAGAGTCCAAAAGTGGCAGGCTAAAACCCAGAACCTCAAGCCATGCTGATACTAAATGAGAAACTCCCCTGGGCACACAGAAGACTGGGACTTGGAAGGTGCTGAACAGACTGTCGCTCTGGCACCACGAGATGCAGAGCCAACTTAGAAAAATGGGGCTACAAAGTGGAGTACACAACATGCGAGTGCAGAGAAGAGCAAACCACCGACCACTTACTACAATGCAGCCTGAGCCCTGACACATGCACAATGATGGACCTTCTTACAGTGACACCAGAGGCACGTGGTCAGCTTCTGGTTAAAGGAAATTTAGTATAATGCCAAGTTTTTAAATACACTATAACTGTACCCTCAATTCACTTCTGACACAATAAATCTATATAAATAAGAATGTAATGTTTGTTTGTGGGATTAACATAACTCAAAAACCACTAGATGAATTGACACTAAATTTGGACACAATACAACTATCAGGCCAACGAGTGACCATCACTCATAAAAACACTAAAAACACAGCAAAAGAGACTTAAAGGGCAAAAAAAAACATTACAATGCATGTGCAAAACCACATATATACACATATACACACACAAAGTACATATACACAGACTGGGCCACAGCAATGCATGGCAGGGGATGGCTAGTAAATAAATACATTTATGACTGTAGCAATAAATCTTTGTTCAATGGGATTCACACCCACCGTGTTGCACTACTTTATCTGCTCAAGTAAAGGATCACTTCTAGGGAAAATATCTTACCCAGAGATAACTTACCATACCCTTTTTAACAACTGGAAACAATGTTTTGTCTGAAATTAGGATTTTGTATGAACATACCTTATACTGCTTCAAATGTGGGCTAAAACTAAAGTGTGTTGTTCTCAGCTGCCAACCTAGCAACTCTAACTCAGAAATAAGTGTATCAAGGCAGGTGTGCCCACATATAACACTAATACAAACCTCTTTGCGTCTGGTTCAATTTTCCCCTTCACTTTGATGGAATCTCCATGCTTGATTGACAAATGGGAAAGAGCCATTTGCTGGGGAAGGAGAACAACAAAAATGTTAATATGTTCAGTCTAGTCGACTGTAGAAACACAATGTTTCCAAACTGGAAACAGTTCTATCCTCCACATATAGACATATCACATGCACCATATAGGGGGATATGTTTCATTGCAATTGTGTACCAAGCAATATCCTAAACATTGTAAAAAGTTCAGAAATGTAACAATGTATGATGCGGAACATCTGAATAATGCCCTGATCCCACAAATCACAGAACTGTAGAACTGGAAAGGAAACTGGAGGAGAGGTATGTGTCTGCACTATAGAATGAATGTGGTTTGATGTCACTTTAAACTGCCAAGGCTCAATGATGTGAATACAAGGTCCTTAGCCTCTGCCAAAGAGGGCTGTTGTCTCACCAAACTACAACGCCCAGGAATCCATAGCAACCATGGCAGCTAACGTGATGATACACATTCTACAATATAGATGCACTCAAAAGGTCATATAGTTCAACACTTTGCTGATACCTAAAATTAACAGTTCAGGCTTCTCACATGCAAGGCATACAAGGGTATTCTAATTCTGCACACAGAGGCCAGTTGAAAGAACTGAATGTCATCTCAATCAGGATTTTGAGGAAGTGACGTTTGAATTACAATTCCCATCAAGCACCACAGTGGACCAAGAGAGTCATGGGAACTCTTTTTCAAAAAAGTAAGTATTCCAAGCTCTCATTTCAGCACTGGAAAAAGGGTTTATACAAGGGTTGAATGAAAAGTAATGCTTCCACCTTCGTAACTCCTCAACAGATGGCAGTACTGGTATGCGGCAGGTACTGGCTTGTTCAGTAGACTCTCCTCTACAGTTCCATTTTGGCAGGAAGCCTTAGTATTGAATGGTTGTGTTGTTAAAGTGTGAAGTATGGAACCCTGCGCAGATTGTCGGTCAATGCAACTTAAGCAGCCATTGAATTCTTGACAGCAGAAGGTGTCACCCCAAAGGAGATTCATCAGAAAATGCAAGCTGTTTGTGATGACTGTGTTGATGTGAGTACTGTGTGTCGTTGGGTGAGTAAGTTTAAAGATGTTGTGGTGGTAACATCAGACTTGTGTGACTAACAAAGAGTTGGACATCCTGTGACAGCAACCACCGAATTTTACAAGCTAAGGTTGACAGATTGATTCAGGACAATGGCCATATCATTCAGAGAGAAATTTCAAGCATAATTGGCATTTCACAAGAACGTGTGGGCCCAGGCCCGTAGCCAGGATTTTGATTCGGGGGGGGGGGGGGGGCTAAGTCTGAATGAAAGAGGGTCCACCCTACCAAACCTTTTGTATCGTTACCCCAATACCCCCATGCATATGGGATATATTGAGTATGGTGATCAGATCATGATATGAATAAACATAACAGTTTAAATAATGCACCAGTAAGGCCTCTGCGTGGACCACCATGAGAATTTCAGAATTTCCTGTGTGGGCCACATTATTGCTTTGCTTGGCTATCGGAAGATGGGTTTTGGAAACAGAGTGCTGACTTCTGTGATGGCTTCAGAACACTTGTTCATCATTGGCAGAAATGTATTCAATTGTCTGGTGATTATGTGGAAAAGTGAATAGTGATAGTTAAAGAGCACATTCTAAGGATTATTTCTGCATTTGATTTATTAAAATATTTCCATCCAAACACAAGTAACGAAGGTGGAGGCATTACTTTTCATTCAACCCTAGTAGTTGTATAATGATGCAAAACAGAACCTGAAACAAACAACAGTTTGGTCTTCTGAACCAAAGGCTCAGAGAGAAGAGTTATTTCCTCTATTCAATACACACACACACACACACCATGTGCTGCTTGAGGTAGCTGCCTCAATCTTCTTCATAGCAGTACTTCAGTGTCATCTGTCACTTCCTCTAAACATCATGCAATATTGGGTTGCCCCCCAACAGCATAATACTAGGGTGAGGGATAAGGAGCCAGGATAAAGGCAATGGCAAGCCTCCACTGAATAAATCTTGCTTAGAAAACCCTATGATAGGGTCGTCCTAAGTTGACATCAACTTGAAGGTAGAGGACATAGAGGATAAGAAAGTAGCTATGATGTTATCAGAAGAGCCATGCTGAATAAGACCAAAAGATCCACATGACTTTTTTTCATGTCATGAGCGACTTGAGAAACTGCAAGTTGCTTCTGGTGTGAGAGAATTGGCCATCTGCAAGGATGTTGCCCAGGGGACACCCAGATGTTTTATTATCCTGTGGGAGGCTTCTCTCGTGTCCCCACATGGGAAGCTGGAGCTGACAGATGGGAGCTCACCTTGTTCCCCAGATCTGAATCGCCAACCTTTTGGTCAGCAGTCCTCCCAGCACAAGGGTTTAACCCATTGCACCACCAGGAGCTTCTGAAATTTGATGAAATCAGGTTAAAGGTACCTGAGTGAGTGAAGGAGAGAAAGAGTGACTCACCTGGAATTTATGTTCATTATAAGCTATCTTTGTGAGGTTAATCAGTAAAGGAAGACTATGACTCCTTGTTTGAGTTCTTCCACTGGAAACTGCCAGAATCCCTTTCACAGTTCCAAGGCTGCCTCTTTTAGGAATGTCTGTATCAGTTTAGTCTTTGGAACTAAGAGTTTTCAGGTTTAGTCACTGGCCGTCAGATCGAAAAACCAGATTAGACCCTTTTTTCATGTATGGCAAAGCAACTCCCTCAAGCAATGCTGATATAAGCAGTCCCCTAGTTACGAACAAGATAGGTTCTGTAGGTTTGTTCTTAAGCTGAATTTGTTTATAAGGTGGAACAGGTGCATATTTAAAGTGTAACTTCAGCTGATGGGTTAACACCCCTCTGGTGTTTGTTTTGCTGTCTGTGCCCCTGTTCAGAAGATTTCACCTCACTTCCTGCTCTGTGAGAATTAGATTTTGAAAAAAAATTGACTTGTTGTGGAAACAAATATTGGTTATAACTCTTCAGTGGAGACCCCCTTTCCCCTTGATAAGAATGAATTTCCCTTCCAAAGGGTAGATTGTTTTCACTTCCTTTTGTTCCACCCTTCACCCCCCATTCTTCACTATGAATTGTTTGAAAGTCAGATGTTTGGACCTGGAATGGCACAGTGTCCAGTTCTGGGCACCACACTTCAAGGATAGTGACAAGCTGAAAGGTGTCAAGAGAAGGGCAACCAAAATGATCAAACGTCTGGAAACTAAGCCCAATGAGGAATGGTTGTGGAGTTGGGTATGTGATAACCATGCTTTAGTATTTGAGAAGATATCATTTGGAAGGACAGGCTTACTATCTACTGCTCCACAGATTAGGACAGAGAGCAATGGGTTCCAAAAATATGTAGCTTTTGAAGTTTTGTCACAGAATCAATGTTCTGCCTCTGAATAACACAATTTTCTCTGTGTTTTGGTTAATTGCAAGTTATGTTTTAAAAGGGGGGCCCTGGTGGCAAGCGGGTTAAACCGCTGAGCTGCTGAACTTGCTGACCATAGAATCATAGAGACCTTGTGGGCCATCCAGCCCAACCCCCTGCCAAGAAGCAGGAAAATTGCATTCAAAGCACCCCTGACAGATGGCTATCCAGCCTCTGTTTCCAAAGCTTCAAAGAAGGAGCCTCCACCACACTCCGGGGCAGAGAGTTCCACTGCTGAATGGCTCTCACAGTCAGGAAATTCTTCCTCATGTTCAGATGGAATCTCCTTTCTTGTAGTTTGAAGCCATTGTTCTGCATCCGAGTCTCCAGGGCAGCATAAAACAAGCCTGCTCCCTCCTCCTTATGACTTCCTCTTATGTATTTATACATGGTTACCATGTCACCTCTCAGCCTTCTCTTCTTCAGGCTAAACATGCCCAGCTCCTTAAGCCGCTCCTCATAGGGCTTGTTCTCCAGACCCTTGATCATTTGAGTTGCCCACCTCTGGACACATTCCAGCTTGTCAACATCTCCCTTCAATTGTGGTGCCCAGAATTGTACACAATATTCCAGGTGTGGTCTAACCAAGGCAGAATAGAGGGGTAGTATTACTTTTCTATACTCCTATTGATGCAGGCCAAAATCCCATTGGCATTTTTGCCACCGCATCACATTTTTGGCTCATGTTTAACTTGTCCATGAGGACCCTAAGATCTTTTTCACACGTACTGCTCTCGAGCCACACATTCCTCATTCTGTATCTTTGCATTTCATTTTTTTTCTGCCTTAGTGGAGTATCTTGCATTTGTCACTGTTGAACTTCATTTTGCTAGTTGGTGGTTCAAACCTGATGAGCGGAGTAAGCCCCCACTATCAGGCACAGCTTCTGCCAACCTAACAGTTCAAAAACATGCAAGTGTAAGTAGATTAACAGGTACCGCTTCTGCGGGAAAGTAAAGGCACTCCTTGCAGGTGTCTACGGATAATGCTGGCTCTTCGGCATAGAAATGGAGATGAGCACCATTCCCCAGTCAGACATGACTAGACTTAATGTCAGGGGAAACCTTTATCTTTTATAACAGCAATATTCAAGAGTTCTGGGATTTAGAAAAAAACAAAAAAACATTGCAATTAGCCTTTGTATCCATGAATTCTACTATGCATGGTTTGAATTTTTAAAAAAATCCAAAGAGCAAACCTTGTTTTTACTATTTTATATATATATATAAAGAGTTTATTACACAATTGCATATAACAAGACTTGAGAAATGACAGGTTTTGGTATCCACAGTAGATCCTGGAATTAAATTCCAGTGGATACCAAGAATGCACTGTACATTGAGTCTCTCAAATAACACTATGTAACACAATTTTTGTCCCTGAGTTATAAATATCATTTCCTAATTGGTTTTATCAGTCTACAAAAACTTTGTTTTTGTGGGAAGGACATCTTGCGGCACATTTTGCTCTAATTTTTCAATAAATATCTCATAAGAGTCTAAACCAATTCAACGTAGTTTGTGGGAAACTATTTTCAAAGTAAGTACCTAATTTCAATACAATTTAAAAGGAAATAACACTTTCAAACCTGGAATAGAAAAAAAATAACAAAAAAAAATCTTCCAAGGGTTCATCATCTACACTGTACAATTAATGCAGTGCTGGTGCCTCAACAAATAGCAAATCCCAGGATAATAATAATAATAATAATAACGTAATAATTTTATTTTTATACCCCGCCACCATCTCCTCTAGGGGACTTAGGGTGGCTTACAAAGGTACAAGCCCAAAAAATTACAGATAAAACAGAGACATAATCAAAATCAATTACAGATAAAACAGGATCCCACAGTATGGAGCCAGTTAAAGTGGGACCAAACTGTGTTAATTCTAAACTGTGTAGTTGCACTCCAAATATCTTTAATTCAGCATTTTTCAGCATCTGATACCATTTAGAGGTAGCATTAAAATGTTCAGAAGTCATCTAATTTAATCATTAAAACAAATAAACAAAAAAAAAAGATATCTCACAAATTATCAACAGATTTATTCTCCAGCCCTTCTGGCTCCAAAAACAACTTACAGTTTCCATTGAAAAAGCTCAGTGACTCAGCTCCAAATGAGCAGAAGAAAGTCTTGTTTGCTCTACATGTGAGCTTTAAACAATGGTTAGGAAAAGGCATTACTCCCTTCCAGCCAATGAGGAACAAGCCTGTGAACACCAACCAATCAGAGCAGTTTCCATAGCATTGAGCCCTGGCAGTAAAAGTGGTGTCAAACTGCATTATGTGTACAGTGTAGATCTGCTGAAAATCAAAGCTTGGAATAAATGTCTTACTGTGTGCAGATATATGTGTCTATGTGTTTCGCCTTCAAGTTGCCTGTTAGTTGTCACATTGGTCTCATAGGGTTTTCTTAATTAAGGAATACTCAGAGCTGGTTTTCCCAGTTCCTTCTTTGGAAACAGAGCCTACAGTACTTGTTATTTATTGGTGGTCTCCCATCTAAGTCCTAACAAGGGCTGATTCTGCTTAGCTTCCAAGATCAAGTAGGATCAGGTGCCTGTTGTTGTGCATCTTCAAGTTGTTTCCAACTTACGGTGATCCTAAGACAATCCTATCATGTGGCTTATGGAGATGCAAGTGTGTGACTCACCTAAGGTCACTCTATGTGTTTCCATGGCTGAGCAAGGGGTTGAATTCTGGTATCTAGATTCATAGTCAAACACTCTAACCATTACACCATGATGAGTTTGTGTTATTTCTAATAATAACTACATTATAATGCTTTTTCTAATTTTTAAGGAAAATACTCATTTCAAGGGTAACTTTTAGTTACTTTTATAGTTATAGAAAATGTATTCTTATTAATACTGATTGTGTCAACAATAATAACATTGTTTATCCATATCTTTCCTTTTCCCCAACACTGAAAACAAAGGCAGTTTATGGAAAGTAAAATAAAGATAATCAGATGCAACATTAAAATATTTTCTAGTTACAGGCATTGTATTCTTAGTATCACTGGTGGTGACAATAACAATACCATTGTCGAAGGCTTTCAAGGCCAGAATCACTGGATTGCTGTGAGTTTTCCGGGTTGTATGGCCATGTTCCAGAAGCAATGTCTCCTGATATTTCACCTACATCTATGGCAGGCATCCTCAGTGGGTTGTGAGGTTACAGCAACCCAGTAGCAATACTCTTGTTTATTCATCTCTCTTTTTGCCCAAGGTGGGAAATTAAAGCAGCTTATGAAAAGGGAATAAAGAAAATGGTAAGTGCTTCATACAGCTTTATAAAAGAGTTGTTTCACTCATAAACATATACTATCTCCAGAATTAAAAATAGTTTGGAACACACCCATTTAAAAGGCAACACAATGGAGCTTATTCCCAGGTTAATATGTATAGCAGGTGTCCTCAAACTTTTTAAACAGAGGGCCAGGTCACAGTCCCTGAAACTGTTGGAGGGCCGGATTATAATTTGAAAAAAGCATGATGAATTCCTATGCACACTGCACATGTCTTATTTGTAGTGCAAAAAACACTCAAAATTAATACAAAGATGAAAAAGAAGAACAATTTTAACAAATATAAACTTATTAGTATTTCAATGGGAAGTGTGAACTTGCTTTTGGCTGATGAGATAGGATTGTTGTTGTTGTTGTGTGCTTTCAATTCATTTCAGACTTTGGTTGACCCTGAGTGAGAGCCACTTAAATGACCTTAGAGGACTGCATCCAGCCCTCAGGCCTTAGTTTGAGGACCTCTGATGTATAGAGTCATGTGCGTACTGGTTTTGAAGTGTTGGACCAAAGACTCTGGGGCACAATGCTACAATGCTTTAGGCAAGATCTGGGCATACACTGCAAAGCATTTCAGTTCAGGAGACCTTTTGCGTGTCTCAAGGATTTCACAGCTGGAGGCTTATCAGGCTAGAGCTGTACTCCCAAATTCCACAACCTTGAGCTGAATACCTCCTTGTTGTTAGAGCTTTTGTTGCATTCCTTAACCAGCAAACAAAGGATTCCCCCAGGCAGGAATCAGCCAGGCTTTGAAGCTGCAAGGCTATTAAATGTGAATCAAGGTGGCCAATTGCAACATTTACACTTGGTTCCAACAGACAAGAGTTCTTTCCCCCACCCTGGGCATTCCAGAGATATATAAGCCTAACTTGCCTAGTTCCTAACAGACCTCACAACCTCTGAGGATGCCTGCCATAGATGTGAATGAAATGTCATACAGCCTGGAAAACTCACAGCAACTAAGAAAGGACTATTGAAATCATGACCTATCTATAACCAAGGTGTTTACAAGATGCTGGGTTAGTCAGTACTTGGTTTGGCCAGAAGGCTTCAGCTTAGGTGCTTGTAATCACTACATGTGCCTTCAGTTCGCCTGTTGATCTAGGGCAGTGGTTCTCAACCTGTGGGTCCCCAGGTGTTTTGGCCTACAACTCCCAGAAATCCCAGTTTACCAGCTGTTAGGATTTTTGGGAGTTGAAGGCCAAAACATCTGGGGACCCACAGGTTGGGAACCACTGATCTAGGGTGACCCCATGAATTTCATAGGGTTTTATTAGGTGAGGAGTGCTCAGAAGTGGTTTTGCCAGCCCTTTCCTCTGAAAGGTAGCTGACAGCACCTGGTATTTGTTGGCAGTCTGCCACGCAAGTACTAACCCCAGCTAACCTTACTTAGCTTGGATCTTGGATACTCAGCAGTATTGTCAAACTATAACTACAGGAAAGTCAATCACAGGTAAAGTGGCATTAATCCAGTTATGATGCAGAGACTTGTTTTGAAGGCAATCAGACTAATACTAGTCATTATCCATTCTCCAGTTATGCCCTCTGAAATTTCATATTGCATGGCTTTGGAAATGAAACTAGTCCCCACCTGCGTCTTGTGCTAATTATATATAGACATTTTTAGATGTGAAACCCATAGTTCAAAATCCCCATTGCTTTACTTATGTAAAGAAGCTGTTTTGACAGGCCCTCCCTGTGAGGCAGCTACCATATTATTTTCCACGGCTTTACAAAACACTCTTATATGTATTCTACTGAGAAATGTTAGCTGCTAATTGGTTTGGTTCGGTCTCTCATCACCGTTTGCCCCAGAACATAGTGTGATCATGAAATTAGTCTTAATAGGCCCCTAGATGAATAAAGCACAAGTCATAATAAAGTGATAGAAGTCATTGAAATTTATGAGATAACATTGTTGCATATGTCAAGACATGTTAACACCAATTTTGTTTCTGCCAATTACTTTGGAATTTGCATATTGCATATTAGCAGCAGAGGGAGAAAAAGATATTACTACGAGGGTTGAATGAAAAGTAATGCCTCCACCTTCGTAACTCCTCAACAGATGGCAGTACTGGTATGCGGCAGGTACTGGCTTGTTCAGTAGACTCTCCTCTATAGTTCCATTTTGGCGGGAAGCCTTAGCATTGATATAGTACGAAGTATGGAACCCTGCGCAGACAGTCGGTCAATGCAACTTAAGCAATGTGCAGTCATTGAATTCTTGACAGCAGAAGATGTCAGCCCAAAGGAGATCCATCAGAGAATGCAAGCTGTTTATGGTGATTGTGTTGATGTGAGTACTGTGCGTCATTGGGCAAGTAAGTTTAATGATGTTGAGGTGGGAACATTTGACTTGTGTGACAGACAAAGTGTTGGATGTCCTGTGACAGCAACCACAAGCAAAAGGTTGACAGATTGATTCAGGACGATCGTCATATCACTCAGAGAGAAATGTCAAGCATAATCAGTATTTCACATGATCATGTGGGTCACATTATTGCTTTGCTTGGAATGCCTGTGGTGTTGCTATAAGAAGGTCCTCCATTGTGCATGTGGCAGGAGCTCAGGATGTATTGCAGTAGGTGGTCTGTGGTTCGCTCTTCTCCACACTCGCATGTCGTGGACTGCACTTCGTAGCCCCATTTCTTAAGGTTGGCTCTGCATCTTGTGGTGCCAGAGCGCAGTCTGTTCAGTGCCTTCCAAGTCGCCCAGTTTTCTGTGTGCCCAGGAGGGAGTCTCTCATTTGGTATCAGCCATTGATTGAGGTTCTGGGTTTGAGCCTGCCACTTTTGGACTCTCACTTGCTGAGGTGTTCCTGAAAGCATCTCTGTAGAGCAATGGTTCTCTTGATTTAAGGCATTGGCGTGCTGGCTGATATCTGAACAGAGGATGGGCCAGAGATGTCACTGCCTTGGTCCTTTCATTATTGGCTGCTACTTCCTGGTGGATGTCAGGTGGTGCAATACTGGCTAAACAGTATAATTTCTCCAGTGGTGTGGGGTTCTACTCCTCACTGAGTCTGAAGTCTGCTGTGTACCTTTGGTTAAGGTACTCTTTCGCAGTCTGATTTATTTCACAAGGTTATTGTGAGCATTAAAGGCATGTATGATCTCACTGGAGAAAAGGCAAGTCTGCTCTTTGCAGGGAACTCTGGAGTTTGAATGGTCAACAAGCAGGTTCTGTCTTATGTCATCATTAAACACAAGTCTTCCCCAAAGGCAAGATAGACTTGTCTGGAAGGCCTTTGAGATAACCTATAATCTACCCCTTGGACCCATGTTGTAAAAGACTTTATAGAGTGTAAGTAGAACTTTGAACAGCACCCAGAAACAGACCAGAAATTGTCCTAGTTAGTTTAGGGAGTCATGTGTTCTCCGTAACCAACATTGATCAGCAGTCCATAATATTAGAGTAGGTGAACTGTTTGCATACTTTTCAGATTTGTGTATACAGTATGACCTCTGTATCCACAGGGGATAGGTTCCCGATCTGACCATCTACAACCTATAACCTTGGATATGACCAAATGTGATTATTTTGGTTTATTTACTTTATTATTAACCTGCCTTTCCCCCAAAATAGAGGTCAAGGAAAGCAACAATTTCTGGTCCCAGCATACTGTGTTGTGAGGATCTGGAGATTGCTAAAAAGTGAATTTAAGTCATCACAAACAGACAGACAATATAAAAGATGTATTTAACTTTGCAATTACAAGAAACACACAGATCTGAATCACATTGGTGAGAAACAACCAATATCAACATCCTGCTTAAACTCTGGACCTCAAGGAAATTTATACAACAGGAAGATAAACTTGCAACTCTATTTTTTA